TATATATTAAATATATATAATATTTTTATTATATACAATCAAGAACAAGAGTAATGAAATAACATGTTTTTACCAGTTCCATACGACTCTGATAATTTCGCGACACTCTTCCCCGCACAATATCCAAATTTTTTGACATTATATCTAACATTTTCTTTTGTTTTTGAGTTACATTCATTGTTATTCTCGATTATATGTATAAACAACAAATAATGAACACAATGTAATTTCCTATTAAAATACGTATGTATGTGCATACATACTTGTATGTACATACACCTGTGAACACTTGTTAAATTTTCGTAAATTTAAGAGGAACGATAATGTAAATTCGCCTTATGTTTTCACTTTCTCATAACTTCTTTATATCATGATTTCACTTTCTCATAATTTTTTTACATAATCACTAAGTGATATCGTTATCGAGATCTGATATCGTTTGAAAGTAAAACTTTTCACGTGAGATTGTACGTACGAAAAGTGAAAAAAAATGGAAGTTTCGTGAAAATTTACATAATCGCATGTAACTTTCCCAACTGTAAAAATGTGAAATTATCAAAAAATGAAATTGTCAAAATGTGAACTTTTTAGCTAAGGACTGTAGAAAGGCGGAAATCTAGGGAATTGATAAATATATTTCGGAACTAACATGTCTTATCCTCCGACAAGGCAGATGTCATTAATAATTGAAGAATATTAACGGAAGAGAGGTTTTATATATATATATATATGTAATTATTATAATAATATATATTACAAAAACTATTATTACGTACATACAGAGTGTCTGGAAATAATCGCCAAATATTTCATGGGCAGGTAGAGCGGACTAAACCGAGTCGAAAAGTCCTCTACCATTTTGTAAGTTTCCCCAATAGTTAACGAGATATTAATCCTTAAAAATAGCCGAATACTACTGCGAAGTGTATACGTCTACCGATCGCTTGGCACGCGGGCCGTGAGGAGCGGGGATAGCTTGGCAAGCGCGTCGTCTGAGCTATGGAGGCGATGTGCGCGGCGCAGGACGCTTGCTAGCTAATCCCCAAGTAGGCCGGGCGAGCGCGCATATTCGGCTATCTTTAAAGATTAATATCTTATTAACTATTGGGAAACTTACAAAATGGTAGAGGACTTTTCGACTCAGTTTAGTCCGCTCTACCTGCCTATGAAATATTTCGCGATTATTTCCAGACACCCTGTATATATTGGGTACATACAATTGGCTTTAAAATGGCTTTAAAAATGACTAAAAATGAGATTAAAAATGTTATATTTTGTCAAATAAATAATTATTTATTTCTTAGCAATTATTATAATAAAATACTTTAAATTTACCAATTTTAATTCACTCTCGTGAATTTTTCTGTCTATTTTATCTCTCACTAATTCGAGATTGTGTTTTAATTTAATAACATTTCTTTTTGTTTCACAATCACATTCATTATTATTTTTCTTTTTGTTATAGGTTATAGAATTTTGTTATAGATTATATTGTTCAGTCGTCCATGCAATATCGCACATGTAATCGCTATACGTGAAAAGTTTCACGTAAAATCTCGATGAGTGAAAAATGAAAAGTAAAAAATGAAAAATGAAATGTGGAAAGTTTCACGTGAAAATACATGATTGATACTCTAAGTAGAGATCCTAAAAGTAGAGATCGGCCAATGCCGACTCGATCCATGATTGGCTCTGCCATGATGTTGTGAAACTGGATATGAAAATGAGAGAAGCGTCATCTGTTTACCATTGTCGGAGACTAAAAATAATTTAACTCTCAGAATCTTTTACAGTAAATAATATTTAAAATCATCAATGAAAATATGTCACTAGAACTTTTTATAAAATATATATAACAATATATATAAAAATTCATTTATAAATAAATATATTTTATGTGTAAATTAACCTAAAAGTGCTATTGTGGAAATACATATATTTGAACATGTTTTAGTTTTGAAATGACAAGTTGCTGTGCGGATTATTGATATTACACATTATTGATATTACACAAATTCTACAAAAAAAGGGATTTCGTATGTGCGGAATTCCAAAAGGAAAGGAGGAAAGTTTGGCTAAAACATATTAATCGTGATGATTTGAAAATGGAAAATTGAGAAAGAATATGCGTTTATGTCATGTAAGTAAAAATTATTTGTAACGATATTAGATAAAAGTACCTTGATAGAAAGAAGTTTTAATACCTATCGACACATTTCCAATTGATTTTAATCTATTAGGATTTAATTAATGTCAGTAATACAATATTCAATAATTCAAAAATATTTAAAATACGTGATGGTATTGTTTAAAAATACATTTCAATATGTATGAAAACTATTGAATATGATTATTGATTAAAACTTAATACATTTTAATCCATACCAATCGATATGAAATGTATTGATGGGTATTAAGATTTACTTGAGAATATTAAAAATATCAATCGGATCTCTTATTGTACAAGAGTGTAAGTAATATATGAAACATAACTTATTCGATTTCACACTCGTTTTTCTTCAGATATGCGGGGAAACATATTCAGATGGCAAAACACAATGTTTGAAAGCAAATGCTGTGCCTACAAACA